CAAAACAAAACAGAAACAAAAGACACGGAGAATAATATTAGAAGAACTAAACTTCTGCTGCTTGATTAGGGTGATTATAACAGCTTGGTTTGTTGTAAATACTGTGTTCCTATTAACAGGAAAAAACTGTCGAACATACACATATATTGGCACTATAGAAATCACTATAGAATATTTTGGATATTTTTCATGCTGAGACAGAAAAGCAACACTGGAAAAAATCAAAATCTAGATAAGTCATTTTTTCTTAAAATAAGTGCATTTGTTCTTAAATTGAGAAGATGAAAGAGACATTTTGCCAATGGAACAAGACTATTTAGATTTAAAATAAGAAAACATAATTGAATTGTCTTATTTAATGTGCATATTATCTAACTATCTTACTTTAAGAGTAAAAACAATCATTCCATTGGCAAATTATCTAATTTACCTACTCAAATCCAGGTTAAATACGCTTAATTTAGGAAATCTTTACTTATTTCTAGATCGTTTTTTCCAGTGAAGTCCAGTTAATCTGACACTAAGGTATCGACGCGATACACTGGAAAAAAAATCAAAATCTAGATAACTAATTTTTTATTAAAATAAGTTTGATTGTTCTTGGATTGAAGATGTAAAAGAGATATTTTTTTAATGGAACAAGACTATCTATACTTAAAGGAATAGTACACCCAAAACATGATTAGCCTTCATTTTCTACTCACCTCCATGCTGAACAACACTCTGGAGTACTTTTTTGATATCTCAAATGCATCTGGAGATCTGGGAGGCTTCTTGCTGTCTGCTGACATTCAAATAATGGAGGTCCATGGCGCCCGAGACAGAAAGGTCCATAAAAGTCCACAAAAACGTGTCAATATTCCTCCATACTGCTCGTCCAATGTAATCCAAGTGTCCTGAGTGGGTAGCATCCAGAATTTACTCGAAACGAAGTCATTTAGAATGTTTTTAGAGCATAAACAGTAGTGTATAGGATTTCCTAATAGCGCCCCCATGCGCGCTCACGATTCTACGGAAGCCGGCAGACCAAACCGGAAGGAAGTGCGCATTCAGCGTCTGGTCTGCCGATAATGCAAGCGTAGAAGAAGAAATGTGCTGTTTACCTGTGCAAAGAAAGAAACAACGAAAGAAAAATGTCTGAGGACTTCAGTGTTGAGGAAGAGCATGAGTTCTTTGCCGAGCTGAATGCGCTGGTTTGGTCTGCCGGCTTCCGTAGAATCGTGAGCGCGCATGGGGGCGCTATTAGGAAATCCTATACACTACTGTTTAGGCTCTAAAACGTTCTAAATGACTTCGTTTCGAGTAAATTCTGGATGCTACCCACTCAGGACACTTGGATTACATTGGACGAGCAGTATGGAGGAATATTGACAAGTTTTTGTGGACTTTTGTGGACCTTTCTGTCTCGGGCGCCATAGACCTCCATTATTTGAATGTCAGCAGACAGCAAGAAGTCTCCCAGATCTCCAGATGCATTTGAGATATCAAAAAAGTACTCCAGAGTGTTGTTCAGCATGGGGGTGAGTAGAAAATGAAGGCTAATCATGTTTTGGGTGTACTATTCCTTTAAAATAAGAAAACACAATTGCATTATCTTATTTTACTTGCATATTATCTAATTATTTTAAGAGTAAAAATACTCATTCCACTGGCAAACTGTCTAATTTACCTACATATTCAAATTAAGGGTAAATACAGTTAGTTTAGGAAATTGTAACTTATTTCTAGATAGTTTTTCCAGTGTACTGATACTGTCTTGGCATCATTATGGCTATTTTTAACTGAGCTATCTGGTCCATGAGACCAAATACCTGCTTCATAAAATATATGTTTATCATTTAAGTGTTTTTGACCCTTAACTAAGAGAAAAGGACATAGAAATGTTGATAAAAGAGAAAGTTGTGCCTGTTATTGACATTGTTATTGGATCTTTTGTTCAATTCAATTCAATTCAGTTTATTTATATAGCGCCAAATTCACAACACATGTCATCTCAAGGCACTTTACAGTTCAACCAGATCAAATTGATACAAAGTTTTCTATCTAAGGAAAACCAGTTGATTGCATTGACTCATTGACTCAAATACAATCCCCCACACTAAGCATGCTTGTAGTGATGTAGTTCAGTGATGCACTGTAACCTGAGGCCCAAAAGCTCACCACTTATTCAGCCTACTTTGTATTTTTAAAATCTTCTCTCTTTATTCGTTTATTTCTATTTGGAAAGTTTCATTTCTCTGTTTTTATCAGAAAGTAAAAGAATTTCAGTGAGGTTTTTCAGTTTCCTTGAATGTAAAAATAAACATGAAAGAAACTAAAGTTGTTATAAAATGTATCCTGTTATTAATGAGATTATTGTCCTACTCTGTGACTGAGTCTGCAGTTAACAGACCTTTATAGACGTTGGATCTGTCTGGAAGGAGAGAGCTGTCTGCTGGAGTATCTGAAATGATTATAGTTCTTCTATTGGACAGAAAATGATATAATAATAATAATAATAATAAAAATGTAACTTTATTGATCTCACATTGGAGAAATTTACCTCTGCATTTAACCCATCCCCTTGGGGAGCAGTGTGGGGTTAAAGGTCAGGCTGTGGGGATTGAACGGGGTACTTGCAACCTTCTCAGAGAACAAGCGCTCTGCTCTAACCCACTAGACCAACACTTCCACTCAGATGAGTGATTGTGGAAAAAGATAATAAATCCAACAAGATGTTGAGGTCCAGGTGATGAGTGAACTGTGTGTGGTGAGTCAATGAAAACGCTGGTGCTCACGAATCAGAACCAGTTTGACTGCTGCTGCCATTATTACGGTGTCCAATTTTTTTTTTTTAAATAGAATAAAATAAAGACATCAACACTTTTGGAGAATATCAATTTAGCTGTTTTCAGGTCTGTAATTAGAATAAAAAAAGTGTTAAAAAGACTTAGGGCCGGATTTATCAAGATCCAATTTTGCGTGCAGTAATTTGCGCTCGAAAACTGGAATTTTGCGCGAGGGGCTGGACCATGGTTTGCGGGTGATTTAACAAGAGCGATTGCGTAACTGGTGGCAGGTGCAAAACTGTTGGAGACGCCCTATTTAAATGATGGTTTTGCGCGTTTTGTGGTTTGCGGCAAAGTAGTTTGTAGTTTGTGCAAACTACTGCATTAAGAAATTTTAATCTTACAGTGACACCACCCCCTCCAAATATATATATATATATATATATATATATATATATATATATATATATATATATATATATATATATATATATATATATATATATATATATATATATATATATATATATATATATATATACACCGCAGTTAAGAAAAAAAAAACAAAAAAAAAAAAACAGGTGTTTTGTATCGGCCTGTAGAAAAATGCACATACCAAATGGCTCACAAGAAGTGACTGTGGATAAGATGACTGCATTGGCATGTTGCTCCACAGGCGCAGGGTGTCGGGGTTCTCCGGTAGGGCGTCAGGGCGACATGGCATTTAGAACGTCGGACAGCACTTCTGAAAAACGAGATTGGGAGATCCCAGATGCAAAAAAGTGCAATGTTGCAAGGAGTTTTGTGATATCTGGTATTGCGTGGGTCCTCCTTGTGGCTGGCTCCAAATCCATTCGCAGTTCCCCCAACAGCTCCAAAATGGCAATGCTGGATAAACGATATGTTTTGATGATCGTTTCCTCGTTCATTCCAAAAATATTCACACGGAGTGAAAAAATGCGTTCTCTGCGTCTCCTTGCTTCATTTCCATGTCTCCTTCTTGCGACAATAACCGCTGCCATGTGTGCGCAATTACGCATACAGACCATTTGCACCTTCTTTTGAAACGTGTTAAATATAGATTCAGATACCGTTAGCAAAATTGCTTTCAGGTTTGATAAATCACTTTGCGAGTGCTAAATTAATATATTTACATGTTCTCCTCCCACAAGACGCACTTTTGCGTGTAAACGCCCCATATTGCATATTCATTGCAGAAAAAGTACTAAATGGATAAGAGGTGCTATTTAGCACGTTTTAAAGACCAAATCCTTTTAGCACGCTGTTGATAGATCAGTTTGTACATTTTTTAGCGTGCGCAGTGAAATAGCTCACGTTTTTATACACGCAAACCTTTGATAGATCCGGCCCATAGACAACTTTTATTGTCAGGGTGCAGACATCATGTCTACTTTTAAGGCTAGGCTTAAAACTTTCCTTTTTGTTAAAGCTTATAGTTAGAGTGGCTCAGATTAAACTGAGCTATCTCTATAGTTATGCTGCTATATGCTTAGACTGCTGGAGGACACAGGGACCCCTATTTCATCATTCTGCTTCACTCTATCTCTATTATCCTACTCTCTCTGCTTTTTCTCATAGTACGGTAGCTTCATCCGTTCCTGTTTGGCTGTGACTCCATCCTGGAGAGAAATATCAGCTGTGCAGCTGCCATTAACACCTTTTTTAAAGATGTTGCAGATTGGCCTGTTTTTCAGTGTAGCCCTGTTTCTCTGACTGTGACTAACTGGATGTGCTCTCTTCATCCTCTGACATGGGAGCTGGATCGGAGCTCGTCTGCCTGGCTGTGTGTTTCCTGGATGGGGCCGCCTTTTACAGTTGCCTTTTGTATCTCTGCTTCTGTCTCCTTGAACCCCAGTCGGCCTCAGCAGAGGGCCGCTCACACTGAGCCTGGCTCTGCTGGAGGTTTCTTACTTTTAAAAGGGAATATTTTCCTCTCCACTGTCGCTACAAGCATGCTTAGTATGAGGGATTGTATTTGAGTCAATGAGTCGATGCAATCAACTGGTTTTCCTTAGAAGAAGAAAACTTTGAATCAGTTTGACTGTAAATTGCCTTGAGATTACATGTGTTGTGAATTGGCACTATATAAATAAACTGAATTTTGTCAACAAAGTGTAGAAAAAATGACAATACATTCGTGAGCACCAATGTCTTCAGTGGCTCACCACAGGCAGTTCACTCATCTGACCACCAGGTGTCAGAGTCTTTATCCTCCTACTGGCCTCTAGCGAAGAAGAAGACGGCAGGAACGTCCAGATTCCAAACAGATTCCCGTTGGAGAGTCAGAAATATTCCTGATTTTTATTTAATAAAGAATCAAATATTGGACTAACCGCGTCTTGTTAACACGATGGGCACCAGAGACGATGAGTATGACTATCTATTCAAAGGTAGGGCGTCTTTCTGTCGCTGTTATCTTAAAGGCTAACAGACAGCTAGCGCAACAAGCCTTTCTTTGTGATTCGTTTGGGTGTCGGAACCTGATTGGACCTTCAGCCGGGTCAGAGCAGTTCATCGGTGTGTGACAGACACCCCGGGTCCTCTGTGATCCGGCTACAGGAGCCATGTTGGGTTCTGACCCGAAGGTTCTGGGTTCGTGTTAGCGGTTAGCTGTGGTTAGCAGGCTGGCAGTGGGACACACCTAGAACCGTTATCATACTGCGAGCAGCCAGCTGGTGTTTTTAACGGGCCCCACATCAGAGCTCGGTCCTGGGCGTAGAGGAGAAGCTGGGGGCCGGAACGGATTCAAGCTCCAGCTGATGTTTAAGAACAAAAAGCAGAGATTCATTGTTTTAAAAACAACACCGGGTAGCTAACAGCTGCTAATCTCAACACTTCACTAAAATTAAATATTTGCTTTGTAAAAGTCTCCACACCCCTTGAATTTTTTTTTGTCATGATCCAATAATGTTACAAAATCGTGTATAAGTCCAATTAGTGTAACTTGATGACATTTAGTCAATAACTGTTTGTTTGTATAATAATCTGGAGGAGACCCTAACATGATGACTGATCTGTTCTGATTAATCGTCCTGTTCTGTTTCCAGCCATAGAGGTCTTCAACAGGGCATCCGCGACCCCCGAGGGGTCCGCAGAGGTGCTGCATGGGGGTCGAGAAAGTTTTGATTGATTACAATTTTTTTTATATCCCCCCCTGCATTTTTCCCACTAATTAATACGGCTGGGTAAAAAAAAAATTGATTTTGAATCGATTCCTTTACATTTTTGCAAAATTGACGTCTAGGGAATGAGATCGATTAGTTTTATAGTGACGCGTGTATATAGCCTATAGGTTGACTGAAGACATTAACAAATGGGGGCTGACTAGCAAACACCCTGTAATTGTTACAGACAGTGCTGCAAATATGGTTTGTGCATTGAAGATAATGCAGCTCATTAATGTCTGCCGTGTCCCCGCCGTGTCACATCTGCTTGCTCGAGTGAGGCTTCACTTTTTCGCTTTTCACAAACAAGTTTGCACTTTTGTTCACATCTCAAGTTTAAATGGTCTGATTTACTATTTGCATTTGGTGTTTAATTTGACAGGAAAAAATAAAATACACAAGTATTTTGAAACACAGTTGAACCGCTTTCGTTATTGTAAAAACAGATCGAATCGAAATTAATCGATTTAGAACTGTATGAATCAAAATCGAATTGATTCAGGACTTTGGCAAAAATACCCGGCCCCACTAATTGAAAAAAATTTTAAATCCACATTAACATGAATTCAACACTCTGTAGCAAAACAGATAAATGGAGGCAGAAGATGTCTTTCAGTCATCAATGCAAACATTCAGCGACACACAGGAGCTCTTTCAAGCTGGGCACCGTTTCATTCACAACACCTGTCCCATCAACCAGGAATCAGAATCAGAAATACTTTAATAATCCCAAGGAAAATTTACTTTCATTCCATTACTCCATCTGTAATAGAGTGACTATAGGAACTAAGGTTGGAACGGTTCACAAAATCCACGGTTCGGTTCACGGTTTCGTGGTCACGGTTTTTGGTTCGGTTCGGTATATGTTTATTGTTACACCGAAAAATAATAAAAATTATAAAAATTTATGAATTAAAAAAAAAATGAAATTAAATAAAAAATCCAAAAAAATTGTAATTATTTTTAATGATCCGCAGAAACCCTGGATCATTTCCGTATGTTTTCCTGCTTTGAATTTAATCATCTGGCGCATGCCCTCTACGATCTCCAAGGAACTCAGAGCGGAGCGGACGGGAGCCACAGCGGAGTCTGTAGGCTTTGCTTTGAGCAGGCGGTCTGGAGCGCAGCGGGGCGGAGCGCTGACGGAGTATGAGGGATTTCGGGGTTAGCATGACATGTTGGTCATGTTGCTGTTAGCATAAACAAAACATGTTGCACAATGCTTGTACACTGTTGCACTTTTATCCACAACTTTCTTTCCGCCGTCATCGTAGGTCACTCTGAATGCAAAGCGGTCCCACACAGCAGACCTATAAAGTGCTGCTGACGCGTCTTCCAACTCCTGTTCTTTCCCACTCGCCATACCCACACAATTCTCCACAACAACTGATTTTTTTCTGCTACACCCGGCTATGCTGCTTCGCTTCTTCTTCTTCTTGTTTACTACTGGTGGTTGGCTTTGGTCGCAGTACCGCCACCTTCTGCTCTGGAGTGTACACGCTTCGCCTATGAGAAAAAGAAGCAGCGCATGAACCGAACGCAACACACGCGAACCGAACCGAGACAGTCGAACCGAACGGTTCGGATGGTTTTCATAAACCGTTCCATCCCTAATAGGAACAGTTTGACATAACACAATTTAATACAATATAAATAATTTGGAGGTCCCTGCTTCATCTCACCCTCAGTTTTGAGGTCCTTGGACTGTAAAACATTGAAGACGCCTGGTTTAGAGAACACTGGAGGAAACCAGGGAGCCCAGCAGATGGAGCAGGGTTTCTGCGGGTCATTAAAAATCCTTAAAAGGCATTACATTATAATTTTTTATATTGAGCATTTAAAATGCTTTATTGAAAAAAAAAGTTTATAAAAACAATATCTTATACTAATATAACTGGTTCTGCAGAACTCCTTACAGTTGATCGTAAAGCCGTATGTTGGGAAAACAAGCTCAAGGCAGAGAAAAAGCTAGAGAACGGCAGACATTCCAAGTGTCGTTTAAGGCATTAAATTTATTTCTTAGAGCATTAAAAAGCATTAAATTAGAGTTACTCATTCCTGAATAAACCCTGATCAGGGAGAAAGTTCTGCTTCTAAGACAATTTCGCAAGTTTTAAACATGACCGCCGTGTTTGCAGACGATAAAGTCTATTTAAGACATCACAATTTTGAAAACAATTTCAGTAACGTTTCCTTTATCACCTAAAATCTATAAAAGCATTAAAGTTTGTTAGTTTGTAAAACACTACATATAAAGAAGGTGAAGGGGTGTGTTTAATTTTTCATCTTTAGTTTTTTAGTTGTGTTCAAACCAACACGCTGCACCAAAATAGAAGAAGAAGAATCAACCCTCTGCATTTAACCCATCCCCTTGGAGAGCAGTGGGCTGCCACTGTGTGCCGTTTGGGGAGAAGTGTGGGGTTAAGGGTCTTGCTCAGGGACCCAGAGTGGCAGTCTGTGGGAGTGGGACTCAAACTCAGAACCTCTGGATTCCAAGCTCTGTGCGCTAACCACTAGGCCGCCAAAAATGAGAGAATCCCTAGAAAAAGATTGAGCTATTATAAACTTGTAAGATCAATTAAAGACGCAGAAATGAAAAGATAATGCAGGTAACAAAGTTTGCTTTGATGATGTTGAGAAGAAGCAGCCAAGTTTCCAGGTGATGTTCTAGGTTCACTTTTAGATCTACGCTCCAACTTTCTAGTTTAGTGATGAGATCAGGAAGAATGAGGTGAAGGGGTCTGATATCTACAGCGAGGGGACTATGAAGGAGATCCCCAACTCTGCTAAAGCTCTACTAAATCCTTTTGGCCTGAGAGTTAGAGCTGAATGATCTGCTGAGCAAACATTCTGTCAGAAAACCGGAACATGATGCGTGGATCTATGGTGTGGAGTTCTATGGTAAAAGCTTTGGGAAGTCCTGCTGTCGGAGAAGAGGAGGGTTTATGTGAGGATGCAGAGGAGGAAAGCTGACTGGCAGAACCAGATCCAGGAAGCAGATTGGAGGAGGTTTTCCAGATGAACCTCTACGGTGCGTTCAAGTACTGCTGGAAGGCCTGGAGATGAGCCAACCCCATAGTATCGTCTTTTAAAATTATTGGATGACTGTAAAAATCAAACCATCGTCTAAGAATTGAAATCTTGTTTGTTTAGTGATTATTTGTGTGACCATGGAAATCATTAGATCAGGATGTTTGTGTGGAGTTTTACTCCTGATCTTAAATACATCATCATCATCATCAGTGCTGCTCTGATGTTTGTTGGTTTTAACACGTCAGGAATTCAGTGACATTAGAAGAATGTTTAGGTTTCCCTGCCTTTCTGGTCCGATCGGGTCCAGTCTGGTCAGATCCGGTCGGATCTGGTCCGGGCTGGTCCAATCCGGTCGGATCGGGTCCAGTCTGGTCTGATCCGGTCCGATCGGGTCCGATCTGTTCGGTGATGTGCAGCAGGAGAACACATAGATGTGGCCTTTTTGGGCTGCAGCTTTCATGTCCGTCTATCTGGGGAATTCTTAGGCAAACCTTGAGATGCAATGTTAGCAGCAGCTCCTGGTTCTGCTCCAAGATCCATATCAGGCTCCTTGTTCTGGTTTCACACAAGAGGAAAATCATCGTTTAGTCCTGGCAAAGTTGGTAAACTGAGAGACGAGCTTCGATTCTAACACTATAAAGTTCTGGTTTGGTTCCCATAGAAACGCAGCTTGACCCGTTTGTGGCTCAAAGCTGATGAGAGTCTGAATGTTTAGATAAGCTGATATCTGAGAAATGTGAACTTTAACCTACAGAAAGCTGGTTTGTGATGAAATGCAGCTCAGTCCTTCATCCAGGATTCCTTTGGCATCCAGTCATCCTGACTCAAAGACTGGAAGCACATTTATTCCCTCCAGTTAGTTTTTTGTCTGGATGCTGATTCTGAAACAAGTGGATCGAGTTTGATCCAAACGGAGTTAACAGAATAACCTGAATCCTTTTATGTCCTCAGTGGTCCTCATCGGAGACTCCGGGGTCGGGAAGAGTAACCTGCTGTCCCGCTTCACCCGCAACGAGTTCAACCTGGAGAGTAAGAGCACCATCGGGGTGGAGTTTGCCACGCGCAGCATCCAGGTGGACGGTAAGACGGTGAAGGCCCAGATCTGGGATACGGCGGGCCAGGAGCGCTACCGCGCCATCACCTCAGCGTGAGTGGAGACGTTCTTGTAACAACGATGATGATGATGGGTGTCCTTCATTGTGACGCTTGTGCTGCAGGTATTATCGTGGCGCCGTCGGAGCGCTGCTGGTCTACGACATCGCCAAACACCTGACGTACGAGAACGTGGAGCGCTGGCTGAAGGAGCTGAGGGACCATGCCGACAGCAACATCGTCATCATGCTGGTGGGAAACAAGAGCGACCTGCGCCACCTGCGGGCCGTCCCCACCGACGAGGCCCGGGCGTTCGCCGGTCGGTGCAGCGGATCGGAAGCCGTCAGTTCTCAGAGCGTCTGTCTGGAATGCTGATGTTTCATGTCTCCCTGTCCTCCACAGAGAAGAACGGCTTGTCCTTCCTGGAGACGTCGGCTCTGGACTCCACCAACGTTGAGACGGCCTTCCAGACCATCCTGACAGGTGAGCTCTGAACGCTGCTCCACCGGTTTCCTTATCAGAGGCCGCCTTTATGAGCCTGTTGGGCGGAGTTAACTCAGACATTCCTTTATGATGAGCTGCTGCCGCCCAGCTTATCTCTGCGGGGGCGGGGCGTGTAAACATGGCGGAGATCATAAACAGGAGCTGCTGATTGGACCTTCTGCCTGTTAGGATATTAAACCTGCCGCTGCTTGATGTCAGAGGAAGGATTCAGGCGAGCTGTTTGGGTTTAGGGGGAGGAACCAACATCCAGATAACAGGAAGTAGGCGCTCTGATGAGGTGTTCAGGAAGCTCTGGTTATGCCCTCCATCTTCATCTTCTTCATGTAATCAGCTAGGAACCACTGTGGTGTAACTCTGGGCCGGTTGGTACCAGGCCCGACTGGAAGGGGACAGCAGCATCTCCATCAAGCCTCTTAGCAGAAGAAAACCCAGCAGAAGACCTAGAACCCACCTTACCTCACACTGGACCTTTAAACGGTTTGATTCTGGACCTTTAAAGGGTTTGATTCTGGTTTCCCCTTTCAGACTCTGGGACCAGATGATCTATAAAAAGTTTTTTTTTGTTTGAAAACAGGACTTTGGACCCTTAGCAACGTTCCGACTCTGTATCCAGGTAAGACTGGAGTTATTTAACATTAGGATTAGGGGTGGGTATTGCCAAAGAAGTCACGATTCAATTCGAATCACGATTCACAGGCCACGATGCGATTCTATCACGATGCATGACAATACTTGAATTATTGCGATGCATTGCAATATTTTCTCCTCCATGTTTTGTTTTTGAATGACTCGGCGCAGTATCCCGCGGCCGGAAATGCTTGTGACACAAGGCAGCGTGCGTCAACACATCCGCAGCGACATCTACTGGACTGGAAGTTGTATTACACTTGTTTTTGGCTGATGTTCGCCAACCATTCATGCAATTTCATTTATTAATTTTTTTAAATTAATAATCGATACTTGGCATCAAGAATCGATGCAGTAGATCACGAAAATTAGAATCACGATGCATCATCATGACGATTATTTTGCACACCCCTAATTAGGATGCTCCAATCAGGATTTTTGCTCCTGATGCCGATCACACGGATTGGCTGGTAGGGTTTGGATCTATGCTCCAACTGGCCATTGGATCCTATAATCAGCTAATAAAAAAAAAAAAAAGAAACTTGCTGGAAATATTCAGTCAAAAGGAGGAATTAGAAACCCTGAAAACTGTTACAGGTATAAATAACAGTTAATATCACAAAACTGCTGATATTAAAAAATGTCAAATTGACAGAAGGCTTCAAAGTTTCCTTCAAATTAAGAATCTTAAGTTACTAAATCAATGGTTGCTTAGGTTCCTGCACCTCCTCCTCCTCCTGGCTCCCCGCGTTTTTAATCAGAGTAATGGTGCAGAACTCGGGGAGGAAGAGGAGGAAGAAGAGCTCCTTCAGACGACTAATGAAATCATTTTCCAGGTTGTTTCTCGCTCTCATGGAGGAAAGTGTAGCGTCGCTTTACCTGCTGTCTGACTTGTTCTTTGTTTCTGCTGTGAGCCTCTATAACCCATCACGCTCTGTGTTGTTGCTGGTTTTTAGACGTCACGTTGCGTTGATGAGTTTAGACGTGCTTCACCTCCGAGGAATTTCTCCCGTTGGACTCAACCTTCCTATTTCTCTCAAAGCAGCAAAGTCAGTGTTTAGGATTTACTGCTGCAGTGTGAAGGAAAGAGGCGGGGCCTATATAGCTGATGGGTAAAATTGTCCGATTATGATCAGTAGCTGATTGATCGACTCACCTCAAGTTTAACGCATCGTCTGTTTGGAGTTTGGTTCCCAGTCCTCATGTCTTCCCTCCACTCAACTTTCCATCCATATGCTTGAATGCTACTTTTTGTTGGTATAAAGTTTCTTTTATTTCTCGGTCCAGATGAATGGAAATGAAAGTTAGTTTTTCTGGTTAGCGCCGTAGATTAGAAGCACTTTGATGGTTTTATTAAATGTTAGCTGTGAAATGATTTCATTCTCCTTTTCAGTGACTTTTCCAATCCAAACATCACTGAATGTAACGTTTCTCCTCCTCCTCCATCAGAGATCTACCGTATCGTCTCCCAGAAGCAGATGTCGGAGCGCCAGGAAAGCGACATGTCGCCTAGCAACAACGTGGTCAACATCCAGGTGCAGCCCACCGAGAACAAACCAAAGATGCAGTGCTGTCAGAACATCTAGCCCGGCGTTGGATCTGCTGCTACCTCCCCCCCTCCTCTCCCTTCCTCCCCCCGTCCCGAACAGACTGCCTCGGCGTAGAAAGATCGAGCCGCAGATTCAATCCTGCGACCTGAACTCTTTCACCCCTCCCCTTTCCTCCCCCCCTCCCCCTCCTGTCTTTAGGCTACTGCAGGACAGCAGGCATTCATATCACCATAGATTCCATTACTGTAGATGCGCTGACATGTCACTGAAATGTCTTAAATATGAATGTGATTCTTTTTCTTCCAGCTCTGTGCTTCTGATGATTTCTGCTTCATGTTTGTTTCACGTCTATCCCAGCTTTCCCCGTCCTATTAGTCCCGCCCCCTCCTCTTTAGTGGACGAACCGAGCGCCCGTGCTGCAGAAACGTCACACCGTTGAATCTGATCTGATCTAAGCAGTTCTAGCCTAGCCTAGCTTAGCCTAGCCTAGCGGTGGGACATAGAAGACGCATCAGGCTGTCCTTCACCAACTTTCAGTAAAACACGTCATTTTGTCCCATTTCTGACTCCAACTATGCAGAAACAGCACAGGCTCCTTGGATCCCCTGTTCAAGCACTTCTAAAGCGAATGAAGGACTGAAACGCTAATATTCCTGAATGACATTCCTTTGATCCGCTGTTATGTTAGACTGATTGTTGCAGCTCATTCTGCGTTGCATGTAGGGCTAGAGCGGAGCCTCACAGGCTGGACTTCATGAGCACCAAGCGTCTGAATCTTGCACTGAATATTAACCCCACCTGCTTTTCTTTAGAGTTCGATTTGTTTTCTGCACTTATAGAATGAGAACCACTGTTATTGAACCACTGCCTGAAGCCGAGGAGCTTTCTGGAAAGCAAAGGAATCAATCTGAGGTGGATTGATGGAGCTACCTTCTCCCCATCTCATTTTCCCGCCTCCTGGCGTCGCCTGCACATGAAGCCTACGTACACCGCGCTGCCTCTGACTTCGACACGATGCATGGCTTTCTGTCGTACCGCCTTACGTAGCGAACATACCCATTCCATCCGCTGGAAGCATGAAGGCGACGCTCCGACGGGGTGCCGTTTGTTTCCAGCTCTGACCCCCTGACTGCGTCCTGCTTGTAGTTTAAATCCGGAGTGTGTGTGTTTAGTGGTAGAGGGCAGCCTCTCTGGACGAGCTGATTCCTTTGGTCCGAGTTCTGATCCTGTTCCGCCACGGTTCTCTGTCCTCGTTGTTTTTTTTTAAACCGTTTTTTTTTTTTTTTTACTATATTCTGTAATTGACTGTAATTTCATTGAAACACGAGTGAAATGTCATTTCAAAGGAAGTCGGACGGTGAAACGTGAGCGAGGGTCAAAATGAATGGTTTTATGTTTTGTACAGACCAATGAATTGTACAATTATGTCTATATCTTAAGTTATCAGTTTATCTTAATAAAGCGCACCAGTCATAAACCTTGTTAGGATCTCAGTTTGGTTCATTTACTCACATCACATCTCACCAGAGTTTGGTGTTTCCTGCAGTGAGGATCCATAGCTGAGAGGACTTCCAGCTGGAGTTTTCCTGTTCTTCTCTTAGATCTGCTCAGAGCTGCAGTTCAGCTTCCTTCATACGGATGCTTTGTTTCTGGGAGGTGAATCATTACCCGGAATGCACTCCTACACTGATGACTGACACATCTCATCAACAAATTTGTGTTCTTGTATAAAACTGAACTCATGACATCACTTCCCCCTGAGTAAGGCCGACTTTATTCAGGTTAGGAACTGGGATTCAATGCAGTCAATACATCTGTTCAAACATTTCTGTCAGATGAAGGAACAAGAAAAGGAACCAAACAGGAAATAATAAGAATAAGAGTCACCATCTGATTGTCATGTGTTATTGCCACCGCTGAATTTAGACATCTTCAGTTCTAAACACCTCCAGCAAGATAACCGAGTAGCTTTGGAGTGCCTCAAGGCTGAGTGCTTAGGCTCCTTTTTATTCTAAACTTAGTTCTTCTGGTGCTTCCAGATGTTCCTATAATACAAATGGGATGTTAAGGAAAATATGATTTGTATCAGTTGGTAAAAGAATTTCTGAATTTTTTGGGGGTCAAACTCCCACTTTTGGATCAAGAGAATTATTTTTTTTAAACCAACCTAATTTCTGTTCTTCTTGATTAGTACAGGGTTTCAGCCGGTCATTAATCAGTAAGTCAAATGATTTTTTTCAATGCTTTTTAATTGCCATTAAAATTCATTAAATGTGCTTATAGTGGCATTTAAAATACTTTATTAAAAACATTTCCTAATATATTGCAGATGCACTGGAAAAATGACCTAGAAATAAGTAAGTGTATTTACCCTTAATTTGAATAGGTGAATGAGATAGTTTGCCAATGGAATGAGTATTTTGCTCTTAAAATAAGAAAACTAGATAAAATGCACCTGAAATAAGACAATGCAATTATGTTTACTTCTTGTAAGTGTAAATTGTCTTGTTCCATTTGCAAAATCTCTCTTTTACCTCCTCAATCCAAGAACAAATACACAAATTTTAAGAAAAAACAACTTCTCTAGATTTCGATTTTTTTTCCAGTGTGGATTGAGTATTTTTACTCTTAAGATAATATGCACTTGAAATAAAACAATGCAGTTGTTTTTTCTTATATTACATCTAAATAGTTTGGTTCCATTGACAATATATCTCTTATTTCCTTAATTCAAGAAAAAAATACACTTATTTTAAGAAAAAGTGACTTATCTAGATTTCCATTTTTTCCAGTGTATAACTGGTTCTGCATGTTTGCACGGGATGCTTCCAGTTGATTGTAAAGCCTTATGTTTGGAAAAGAACTTGAGGCAGAGAAAAAGCTAGGGAATGGAAAATGCAAATTTCAACAAAAGTGGCTGGAAAAGAAAGAATTCAGGACATGGCTGCAGCCTGTAGACGGTAAACATGACAAAGGATTTTGCTATGTTATGGGTCATGGATAATTGTTCATGGCATCAAAATTATTTGTAAGAGCATTAAAAAGCATTAAATTAGAGTTACTCATTCCTGTATAATCCCTGTAGTAGGTTCCTCATCCTGGCTTGTATGTTTGCAGGAAACCTCCTTCATGTGGTTTAAATCAATCTTGGATTTTAATATGAAGGGGTTGAGATTAATTATGGAAAAAAAAAATTTCACCCAGACATTAATATCAAATTTTTTCATGAAGGATCCAAAGAAGGAATTCTGACTCCTGGGTTTTCTCAGATGTCTGAGCTCCTTCAGCCGGTTCATTTTGAGGAAAGTTAGATCATTTCCAGGAGAATAGAAATCATTCCACCTTAAACAGCAATTTAAAGATGGGTGATTATCTAAAACTTATCCACCTGACTTGTTTGGACTCGGTCTACTGATCCAGCACCGTTTGGGTCTATTGATAATTGGAATGGTGTGCAGCGGCTCCCCTTGGGACAGGACTTCCTGAAACCACCTGAGCTTTCTTTATGACCAGCTTTATGATCTGTCTGCAAATGTGAAAATGTTCCCACCTTTGTTTTCTGTTTCTGGAAAACAATCCTAACTAAGTAGTTTGGAATCTAAACTTGGAGAAGAACTGGAGGGATTTTATTTGTAGCTCCTCCTCCAGGTTAAAGCTGTTACTACAAGGAGTCACATATGAAACCAAAACATTAATAAAAAAAAACAAACTATCTGACTTTTCTCACTATTTTTCTATTTCTTTCTTCGGCATGCAGGAGAATTAAGCTCAACACAATAGAGAAAAAGCACAACAATATAAGTATAGTCCACACAGTCTACAGAAGATAAAAATAGAAAATGTTTTCCTTTGTGGGATCTTGAGCTGTTTAAACAGGAAATATGAAACTGGATGTAAAAATATCAGAACTTTACACCAGGTTTCATCCTCTACACTGTCAAGACCTGGCAGGACCAAGAACCGTTGAGACGTTCCTCACTGAAGAGAGATTTTTTCCAAGCAACCTTTTCCTACAGTTCCTTTAACCTGGAAAACCATGGATCTGTGTTCCCGAAAGGATCCACACATGTGCATCCGTTCTTTCCCTGTCTGGAAAGTTCTGGTCAAGATGACAATGTACAAAATTGATTGTTTGTATATTTTATGGTGATAAAATAGCAGCAGAGGTCTGACGCTGACCCACGGATGATTTCATAAATAACAGATCTGCTCTAAGAACAGAGGTCCAGAGTCCCACGGCCCTGGATCCTGGATCCATAGAGTTTCTGGTTGTGAGGGAACTGGGAGCGTCCCGGTCGTGGGGCTCAGAGCAGTGAGCTGGTCGGGCTCCCTGGCAGGGGGGGGCTGTGGCTGTGGGACGGACTGGGCCGGACCGGCAGCAGGTCGTAGTGGCTCGGGATGTGGCTGTTCCTGGGAAGGTCGTACGGGCTCTGGGAGTAACCGGGAAGCAGTCCGGGGATGATGCTGATAGTCGGCTCTAATGGATGGATAAAAAAATAAAAGTAAATAAAAATCCAAATTACCTTAGAGAAACAACTAAAACTAAACATTTTTAGTATGAAGGAGAAGAAAAACAACTTTACTGAAGTAATTTCCAAATGGTAGGAAAACAGAGGATGATAAATAGAATGAGTCAGATTTAGTTCCTGCTTGTAGACTGTATCCGTATCTAAAGACACAAATCATTTAATTTACATTCACTGCTTTCTGTAACCAATTCCTAAAAAGCTGAGTCTATGGTTGCTATGGTGACCCCCTCCTTCCAGGGGAACAGGAGGGGAAACGAGCCCACAGCATCACTGTTTTCTACTGGCAGGCAGACAGAAACAGTGTGACAAATCCACTTTTCCATCCTGTTTCAGTTTTGTAAAGCCCGGGTAGTGTTTCTACACGGCTCTGCTGATGGACAGAGCAGCAACCAGTAAAACCAGTTGTTTGTTATGACCCCCATCTGCTGGACTTCAGCTTGTAATGCAGTTTTCTCAAACTGATATAAATAACTGGCCTCTCAGAGTGACGAGAACAGCAGGCTGATAAATTACAGGGATTCCTTTTACTGGCTGAAACAAATCCTCATGAAGCTCATTAAATACACTCAGCTTTGCTTATTTTGGAAAAACTAACTGACTTGTTGACAAAGAAACAAGCAAAGAAGTGTTTACATCTGATCATCATAAGGTCACTTTATAACTATTTAAAAAGAGACATTCATATTGGTAAATTGGTTCTGGAGTTCCTCAAGGTTCACTGCTAGGGACCCTTCTGTTGTATAGCTAAATCACCTCTTTGGATCTGGTTATCTGTTAATATCAACGCAGACGTAACTTTGATTTGTCCAAAGCTAAATTAAGAAGCAGCAGAACCCTTGACTCAGAGGCAGGAGTAAGACCCGAAAACCTTAAACATATCTCTAAACTCCAACAATTAGACAACTTAGTGGAATTAACACGATTTTTTTTGTGTAAACTACAGTAGCAGCCATTCAAAATGGCCCTTCCCAGTCAGAAGCCAGCAGAATGGCAGCAAAATCCCCTCTAACTTTCAGCCTCTGGCCTTCTCCTGGGTGTGCATCATTTTTACTCTGACGCCACCGTTTTACTGGATTACAGGGTCTGACCAGGAGATGACTAGCCTAGTAAACTAGCCCCACCCACCAGCGGCCAAAATCATTTTTGCCTGCGAGTGGTCTAGCCTCGATCTATGCCCCAGACCCTAGAACTGGCAGGCCAATCACAACGCAGAGATGTGTTTTGAATTTTTGGATGCAAAGCAGGGGGGATTTTGAGGGTGTGACGACAAAGCTGTGCAACACTGGAGAAAGCACAACAAGGAAGATGGCAACAAATATTGAACAGTTCTCGTTTGACTGAGCTTTGGAGTCAGTTTTGGAAGGATTAGACTTGGGGTTTTCGTTGAAACGTGAGCAGGAAAAGGCTCTACGTTCATTCTGTTTTAAGAAATACGTATTCACCGTTTTACCGATAGGCTGTTTGTTTACACTCCCCAACAGCTTTCTGTCACGCTACATCACGGTCAGTTGTGCTCATTGGTCAGAGCGTTGGCCAATAGGCACAAACAGCGGTTTGAAAGACAACGGGTTGTTCTCATCAACAGTCTTCCGATGTGTCATTCATCGGGGCCAGACTAAATTACACTTTTAATCTCACATTTGGTCTGGTCTATCAGGCTAGCAGAGGACGCTTCTCTTTAGGTCTTAATGTCAACAAATCATGACAGAAATAATATTTTAGATGCTTAAAAAGGAATTGTAGGGGACTAGTCCAGGACCTAACCTGACTCCGCCAGATGGATTTGCTCCGCATATCCATCTGGAAACCTTCCGTTTAAGTAATTTTGGGAAGGGGCGAAAATACTGGTTAGCTGATTGGCCTATGTTGGTGATAGACGGGCCAAATAAACCAATCAGATCAACGAAGCATATGATGTTCTAACAGAGCGACGATGAAAACACAACCACAAGCCAGGCTGCTCTTGCCAAAACCAGTCGGGAGAAGAGCAAAAACATCTTTTCCTCTGAGAAAAGCCTCCAGAGCAGTGTTTTGCTCTTCTTTCAGTGAAGAAATACTCTGTAATTCCGATAAAACTTGCTCGATAGCCACGCTAACGCTAGTTTCATCGGCTGAAGCCGCCATGTTCTTTAGACTGAACTATCGCGCTTCTCGTTGCGTCACACCTCAACCCGCCTCAAAGCCAACGCTGATTGGACGTTTGTTTAGTGAACAGCTCCAAATTTTCTTTAACGGAGAGTCTCCAGACTGATCTGCGAGTGAAACCTTGAAAGCTTGCGAGATCAGGATGGTCTCACGAGGCTACCAAGGACCAGCCAAGGGCCAGGAAAGTAGGGACATTTTGAATGGCTACTACTGTATGAGTTTGAAAAATCTGTGAAAGGGACTGAAATGCTAACCTAAGTTTGGTAAAGTTGAACTTCCTGTGAGCCTTTCAGCTTTCATGGCTGTTTGTAAACAACAGTGGTCTTTGTTTTCATGCCTTCCGGCCAATGGCCTTGGTAAACTGTTTCTTACCAAGCAGCACATTTCTTTTAACAGTGTGAGGAGTAGCAAAGCAAAGATCATGACATAAACTGACGATCAATAAGAGGAGGGTCTGTCTAAACCCACCCATGTCATAGACGTTCTTGGTGGGAACACTGCTGCTGCTGCTGATGATGGCGGAGGAGCAGCAGTGTTCATGATGCACCGGTGACTTCATCTCCACATAGCTGCTCTCTGAATGTTTGCACAGAACTGGATGGTCGTTGATGATGGCGTACGGGTTCTCGCTGTTCAGGGAGCAGGTGCTGGACAAGGAACCCTTCATGTAGTCTGAAAACACAAGAAGCAACAGAGGTCATAAACTGCCCTGAAGACTCTGAAGATCTGCTGCAGAGGAACTTCATGGTTAGATGAACGAGACGGACAATCAGCAAAGTAAAAACCCCGCCTGGAGTTTTCTTCATCCTTAATGAACTAACCACCATCACTGCATCATGGAGACCATTTAAAGCAACAAATCTTCTGAAAGGAAACATTTTGCCCCAAAACAAAACATTGTAAAAATTTTCACGACCTCATAATCCACTGCAGAAGGACATACAGACATATAGAGATTTATCACACAGAATGCAGACCTTTAATTCCTGTAATTCTGATTATTATGGCTTACAGATAAAGAAAACCTAAATTTTAATAGAACAGAAATGTAGAATAATCTAAAAAAAAAAAGCTTTTCAGCTACAGCTGGATGTTGACTTCCAGCGGGACTTCAGTCAGTTCACGAACCAGTATGAGGAGCCGCAGCAGGGGGGGATCAGGTCTTTGACTGAAGAAGCCTGTTTTCCGCTACGTTCCATCTCCCTACGTCACAACCACATCCAGTCCCTGATTGGTTAATACTCCATCTGCACATCCACTGCACCTTTCACTCTTTCATGTAATGTACAGCATCCATATCACTGGAAAGCTGCGTTTGCATCGTTGACCTTTACTACGTTCCTGATCGTGCCTTAGATCTGGACAACACGGAAACCTTTCGCTGCGTTCCCATCTGTTGTGAATGCACAACCACAGGGTTAACGGCAGCCAGCCTCCTCTAGGAAGGATCTGGGACTGGAGTCAGAACATCAAGAACCGTGCTGCACAAACCAGATCCAACACATGGGCTAATAGTTTCTCACCTGAACTGGACTCTTACTCTGAAAGTCTTTCTTTTGTGGATACCAGGGTCCCAGAGTCTGGATAAGTTAGGAATCCAAGAGTCCCAGAATTCAGGTTTTATGAGTTCCAGTCAGAGATGGTTTGGGTTCCCTGTCATCTCCTGGTTCTGGTCCAGGTGTTGGTACAAGCCCAAACCGCCATAGGTACCGACGGTGGTCCAATGACTGTGGTGGTACTGTGTTTGATCGGCCAGAAAAACCGGACTGACCAGAAACCCACAGACAATCTAACAAAAGCATTGTCCAGAGGAAGACGAGACTTCAGAGCAGAAGCAAGCTGGACTTTTGTTCCACCTCAGAACCACAGATACATCTCCTTTGATCCATTGATGCAGCAAATCAGGCAAATATATGGAATATAACTCTTATATATAAGTTAAACGTGTTTTCTAGTAGTTCTTCTGTGTTTCTTTCAGACACTTTCTCTTACATCTCTGCTATTCCTCTGCTAACAAAATATATGGATGTATGACGTGCAACAATCTATGTAGAATAAAAACACACTTACAATTATTATGATCTTGAATGTATAAAATTACACTAATAATAATAATATATCACAATAACACATTGATTTATCTGCACTTTTAATAAAAAGAATATACTTTACAAGGTTATTTATTGCACGGTCTTACTTTGTTTAACTTTGATCCATGTGTTTCATTGGTTTATTTCCTACTTTGTGTTTCTAGATATATTTTAGTTCTCGGGTTTTTTTCTTGTGTTTGTTCCTTTTTCCTTGGCTTCCTCATTATCTCCACTCACACCTGCTCCTTATCAGTTCGTTAGCCCTGCCTTTGTTCAGTCAGCCGTGTATATATACTCTCCCTCTGCTGTCAGTCTATGCTTGTTCCTTATTGCCGGTAGTTCCTCGTCACTGTTGTCTTCTTACCTCGTCTCTCCCTGGCTCCTCTTGCTCGTTTTCCCCTAATGTCAACATGGTTTTTGTTTTGTTAACATTTTTTGTTGGATTTTTGGATTGCTGCCTCTGTTACCTGTATTTTTCCATTAAACTGCAAGAAATCACCTCAGCCTCTCCGCCTCTGCTTTTAGGTCCTCAAACCTCAACCAAATCCTGACAATTTAGACCTTTAGCATGCGAAGGAGGATCTTGAAGTGGATGTGCTGCTTTATGGATCCAGTGAAGGTATTCTAGGATGGATGTTACACAGTTCTTTTTAATGTATCTCACCCTTTGACTTTAAAAAAAAATCTTTTATGTCTCTTTCTTTTCTCAAAAATCATGGCTGCAAGTCTAATAACCAAACACACAAACACGCGCACATTAAACCAATTCAAAGATTTGTGTAAATTAATATAGCTGATATTATAAACCTTCTAGATTAGATGACCAAAGTGAAGAACAAATGCCAAATTTAAAAGTAGCAGATTCCCTCACCGTCTGTTTGCAGACCCACATGCTTCCCTAAGACTGTAATTCCTGGATGGTTTAAGATATTTAAAAAAATCTAAAACGTACCAGAAAGCAGAGAAAAATGCTTGCGACCCTACAGTTCTGATTACGGCAGCGCGTAGGACTTCAGCAGCACTGTGACCGTCCAATCAAAGACCTGATTCAGTGGCGCATCAGATGTTTGTAAAGTGAGGAGTGACAGTGGTGACACCCAATCACACAAGAAAATATGGACGGCCAATCAGGAGCTTGTGGTCTAAACTCAGGGAAGCGGGCATCAGCTTGAGCTGTGGTTTTCCGCTTGGTCCTGGTGCTCGATGATTGTCTGTGTACTGTAGCGTAACTATATTCTTGGACAGTAAAAATTGCAGGAGATCAAAACTGACTTTTGAAAAAATACAGGGGACATTTCCCTCTTGTCCCCCCTCCAATGACGTCCATGCTAAGTACATAGAACTGGACTTTTTTTTTAATAACGCTGACATTTCTCCTTAAAACACACATTTTTAGGTTTCATTCTCTGTGAGCTGCAGCCATCAGAATTACAAGAAAAAAAGTCTAAAAGCTATTTCACTCCATGTCTTATAAACATATGAAATCTATGGGAGACATAAAATATGCAAAATCTTCACAATATTCTCATTATTGGAGCTGTACATTGTGGTTGCCATAGCAACCATTGATCAGGACATCAGACTATTCAGAATTAGGAAAAAAAACAACAGGACCCATCGGACAGATAGCAGCAGCACAGAACAAAAGATGCAGGAACAGTAGAGCTCATGTGTGGGAAAAAGTTTTCCTCGGGTTCAGGAAGTGATGAAGGTTAGAAAAAGACAGAGGGAAGTTTTATCCTGCAGAGACACAAATACACCTCAAGAGACTCATGCAAGAGGTTCCTAAACACAAGCTGGAGCGGCCACTGGCTGTGGGAACTGCAGGGAGGAGGAGGTGGTGAGGAGGTCCGTGCACGCCACGCTGTACCTCTGCAGGGCGGCTCCAGGTGGTAACTGAGGCGCTGGTCGATGCAGTAAACTCCTGCAGAGAGACATGAAAGTCAATCAATGAATCAATCAATGAATCAATCAACTTTATTTTCAACTACAATTTACATTGCAACCGAGATTTCAGTTTCAGTACTTTAGAACTTCTGTTCTGACTCTTGAAGGAGGAGGTCGCATTTTCCTAGTGCTCCGGCACCTCCCTGCTTTGCTGTCTTTTCTGAGCTCTCTCTTCATGTCTTCCAAACCCAAACAATGGATCTGCTCAGCTGGTCTCTCAGTCCAATTGATCAAATTTTCCTTAACTGGAAGACCGGGAAAAGGGGACCTGTTCTGTCCTGCCGGGACATCTTTGTGGGATACACCATGGACTCCTGGAAGGCTTGGAGGATGGTGTGCTTCACAATGCTGTGAGTGGAGGATATCGAAGATATATGGATTTCTGGATTTATGATAATCGGATTTCTCCTGTTTGGATTTGGAGGATGCCTGATGTATCTACAATTACAGAGGATGTCTGCGGCAATTTGGGCACTGATCAAGTTGCCGGCAGAGGTTGACGCCCTCACAATGGCTGTGAACGAGCAAGATTGGGAGATGAGATGTAAGCTGGGTGCGAATTAACGCAGGCTGGCTGCGATGGTTGAACTCAATGGTGTGATAATATCCTGGATGTGCACGCTCCCTTCAAGGTGGAAAAGCCAAACAATTTGGAATATTAGACTCGCACCATAGAGCCAGAAAGAAAATACTCAAGGCTGATGGAAAATTCGCGTGCAGCCTGCTCTCAAAACAATAAGTGCTATTCTGGATTCGGCCTCCCCACCTCATCAAAGTCTCCAATGGATGTTATGGCGAAAGGGCACAGAAGAACTGTTCCCCTCCTCCCCTACCCGCGAACATCTGTGGTTGCGCCCAGAACTGTTGATAAACTTCCATCTCATCAAGGACACTGGCCTGTGGACAGCGTTCATGGACAAATTGAACACACTCATCGTACACACACAACTAATGTCTCAAATGTCAGATTGACTTCATGTGACTCCTCCTCCGAGGTGATCCTCTGCTGAAATGTCTGTCTCGTGTTACATGTGCTTTTCTTGTGCTGAGGCTTTTTTTGATATCTCAAACTGTATTCTGTCAAGGATAAAGTGTGAAATATGCTTTTTTTTCTCCCTCTGTTCCCCAATGTGGCTCCTATCGTTCCACAGAGAGGCTGCACTATAGGTGCCCACCTGTTACCTGGCTGGAAGCCATAAGAATCAAACCATCAGGAATATCATTGAAAACTATAATCTGAACGTATATAAGGTGCATTTTATTGGATCCAAAAGGAATGAAAATAATTTAATGTCCTTTGAAATTTCTCAACACTTTCCATGTAGGAATTAAATGCTCTAGATAAAGAGGGATAATGTGAGAAGCGGTGGAGTAGGATGGGATGTGGGGCAAAGGAGGAACCTTAGATTCAACCTTCAGGGGAGGGTAGGAGATTCAGATGATTTGATATTCAGCAGACCATTAATCACACTTATTCATATTAGTCACTCATGTCTATAGTCAGTCGTCAGGGTCTATCCTGTATGTTTTGCGGCCTTTCCTGGTCGAAAACATCAAATGAGGCTTTTGGAGAAGGTGCTAGCAGGACATCATTAAAGAAGCGCTGAGAAATGTATGTGGTAAAATGAAAGGGGTGTGAGAACAGTGTCTTGGAGCACTCCTTTGTTGTTTTTAAAAAAATATATTTTGTTTGTTTTATAATTAAATAAATAAATAAACTTTCAATTAATTCTCACAATGGAGAAAATAACTCTCTGCATTTAACCCATCCCCTTTGGGGAGCAGTGGGCTGCCACAGTGCAGCACCCGGGAGCAATCGGGGGTCTTGCTCAGACAGCCAGAGTGGCAGTCTGTGGGAGTTGGTTTTGAACTCACAACCTTTAGGATTCCAAGCCCTATGCCCTAACCAATACGCTGCCACTCCTTTTCATGTTTCTCTATAAGTGAAGAAGTGATGAATAGTTGGAGGAAGGATCCCACCAGGGTTCAGTCATTTCCGTTTCCTATGTTGGACCATAAACCAGCTAATATTGTTAGCAAGAGGGAAAACTTAGGTCCAAAGTTAGCTGTATCAGTTAAAGCTGCAGAGAGAGGCCATTTTTAAACACCACACCCATTTTCTAACATCCCAGGACTTGAGGTTCTGTGAGAAGACGGAGAACAAACTGACCCAGATCACTGAGGTTGCAGTACGCTCCCCACTCTGGAGCGCTGTTCCTGAACCTCTTCTTGGGCTTAATCTGGGAAAGAAACCAGATAACACATTAGAACAGAAAACATTCCTTAGAACAATCCAGTTCTTTCCTTGAGATCTCCTGAAGCTGATTTAACCCAACAGCTGCTAGAATTTCCTGAATCTTAATCGTTCTTCTGCTGTATGACTGCTGCATAGAGTTACCAGGCAAGCAGTTATCTGTTTATACTTAAGGAGGCATCCATGTCTGTGCTGAATGGATCATAAATGGAAGGGTAAGAGTCCAATTTTTACATATTTAAATATTCATGAACATCTTTGAGGTTTTCTTCTTCACAAACTCTGATTGTTCATATTAGTAGTCATATACTCAAAGAAAGATGATGGAAAAAGGAAGAGGAGAACATTTAAAATAGAGTTTTCTAAGGAGTTCTGAAAAGTTGCACAAACATCCTGGAACATTTAACGTTTTCTAATGTTTTAGACACAAACGCCCCTACATTTTATGTGAAGGAATGATGTGAAGTAGGGCAGGAAATTAAGTCATGGTTTGAAACAAGCCTTAGTTTAAAAAGTGTTGAATGCATTTAAACCTAGAGAGGAACCAATAGAGGAACCTAAAGAGGGACCTAGAGAGGAACCTAGAGAGGGACCTTAAGAGGAACCTAGAGAGGAACACAGAAAGGAACCTAAAGAGGGACCTAGAGAGGAAACTAAAGAGGGTCCTAGAGAGGAACCTAAGGAGGGTCCTAGAGAGGGACTTGGAGAGGAACCTACAGAAGAACCTAAAGAGGGACCTAGAGAGGAAACTAAAGAGGGTCCTAGAGAGGAACCTAAGGAGGGTCCTAGAGAGGGACTTGGAGAGGAACCTACAGAAGAACCTAAAGAGAGTCCTAGAGAGGGACCTAGAGAAGAACCTAGAGAGGAAACAAAAGAGTAGCCTAGAGAGGAACCTAAAGAGAGTCCTAGAGAGGGACTTGGAGAGGAACCTAAGGAAGAACCTAAATAGGAACCTAGAGAGGAAACTAGAGGGACCTAGAGAGGAACCTAGAGGGGGAACTATAGAGTAACCTAGAGAGGAACCTAAAGAGGGATCTAGAGGGGAACCTAAATAGGGATCTAGATGGGAACCTAGAGAGGGACCTAAAGTGGGACCCTAAGAGGAATCGAGAGAGGAACCTAGAGAGGGGCCTAAAGAGGGGCCTAGAGAGTAACCTGGAGACGGACCTAGAGAGGGTTCTACAGAGGAACCAAGCGAGGGACCTAGGGAGCGCCCTAGAGGGGAACCTACAAAGGAGGAACATACAGAGGGTCCTAGGTGAGACCTAGAGAGGGACCTAGAGAGAGACCTAGAGAGGGACCTTGTTGGGATCTGGAGATTCACCACCTTTCTCCAGCAGAGTGCGCTGTGGGTCTCCTGGGCTGGAGCCCTCCAGCACACCTGACGCTCATCAGCCCATCAGGAGACCTTCCTACTTAAGCAGCAGCCAGACCTTCCTTCAACGCCGCAGTGTTGACCAAGTTTGGAAACCTGTCTAAGCCTAAAGCTCTGGATGAGCTTTGCCTGTAAACCTGCCTGCCTGCCTAAAGGAGCCAAACCTGAAGATCTCAATCTGGACTCCTGCTGCTCTCAAGGAAGAGCTGGAATCTCAAACCAAGGTCTGCCACTCACAAGTCAGAAGCTAGACGCTGCTGCTGCTGAGCACTCTGCTGAACCAACAGCCTCTGGACCCAACCGGTTCCCTCTCTCACAAAGACCTGTCTGGACCTCTTCAAGGTATCTGCTGAATAATCTTAATTCAACAAACCATCTGACTGCCTGGCTAATCAAACTATCCGTCTCTGCAGACATCAGTGAATCCTGTCCCGGACCAGTGCCTGACCCAGTTCATGTTCTTTGTGTGAAAACCATCAATAAACTCTGTTAAACTTTTACTCTGCTTCCAGTGGTGTTCTGCATGTGGGTTAAGTCTCTTAAGCCAATCATGACAGACCTAGAAATGAATGTAGAGAGGAACCTACAAAGGAACCTAAAGAGGAACATACAGAGGGATCTAGAGAGAGACCTAGAGAGGAATGTAGAGAGGAACCTAAAGACGGACCTAGAGAGTAACTTGGAGAAAGACCTAGAAAAGAACCTACAGAGCAACCTAAAAAGGAACCTAGAGAGGAACTAGAGACCAACCTAGAGAGAGTCCTAGAGAGGAACTTAGAGAGAGACATAGAGAGGGATCTAAAGAGGGACATTAAGAGGAACTTACAGAGGAACCTAGAGAGGAAACTAGAAGGGGACTTAGAGAGGAGCTGGAGGTGTCAGTGGGGTTTTGGTTCTCCACCCACCTTCTTGTCTGGCTTGGCGTAGTGCGCGGCGTACGTGCACGGCCCCAGGGTGTGGTAGCTGGGGTTGGAGAAGCAGCCGACTGCGGCGCTGTTACCGGTGGAGGAGTCTGCAGAGGAGAGCAGACCTGCACACTGCAGCCCTGCTGCCACAGAGCATTAACATCTACAGCTCTACAGCGTTACCATGGAACCACAGGAGCAACACCTCTGATCAGACCTTAGTTTGCTCTGTTGTACTTCCAGTCCACCAAAATAAAAGCAGTATAAAACCATCTCCTCTACGGATGCTTAAGAACTGGACTACAACCGAAGAGAAGCAGCTCTGGACCAAGAAAACCTTCACTGGAAAAACGATTTAGAAATAAGTACAAATGTCTTAAATTAAGTATTTACCCTTAATTTGAGCAGGTAAATGATATGATTTGCCAATGGAATGAGTATTTTACTTTTAAAATACGATAATTAGATAAAATGGACTTGAAATAAGACAATGGGATTGTGTTTTCTTATTTTAAATGTAAATCGGCAAGATGTCTCTTTTACCTCCTCGATCCAAGAACAAATGCACTTATTTTAGAAAAAAATTACTTATCTAGATTTGAATTTTTTCCAGTGTTTAAGAAGCAGATGAACGTTAATTAAGATCATTTTGGAAGGAAAACACAGAAATGAGGACCTGATCAGGAGGTCTGCTCCCAAACCACCACAGAACCAATAAAACAAGCAAAAAACTGTGAGAAATTAGGAGCATCTTCTTCAAGGTCTTCAGTGAAACCCAGCCTTGAGATTCTGGGTCTGGTTCTGATCCAAATGACTTGCTGAGGGAGAGGGGAACAGATGAGGTGTGGGCGGGCATAGCCTACCTGACAGAGAGTAGTCGGTGGAGTTGATGTGCAGGGCGGGGGTGTAGGTGACGCTGGGGGCCTGCTGGCCTTTCTCTCTCTGTCGGAACCGGAACCAGACCACCAGCGCCAGCATGGCCATGATGAGCAGCAGCAGGAAGATGATGCCGAGGACGGCGCCCGCCGACTGGCGCTCGGACCCCAGCGCCGGGCTGATCTTGGTGTAGGGGTTCAGCTCCTCCATCATCAGAGCAGCTGAGGAAAAACAGCATCATTTAATTCAGAAGGAAACTTTCCTGATCAAAGCCATTTTAGTTTGGCTTCAAGCTCGTTTGGTGATCTTAATACTACTTCAATTAAAGTCACTGTTTTATTTGATAAACAGTTCTGCTATAATTCTACAGTTAAAGCTCAAACTACAATATTATGATAACAAGCTAAGGAGAGGTACGTTATTCTACTTTGGGACTACATGGTATAAACAAGTCCAAAGCATGACTCCTCCACCGCCGTGCATCAGCAGATTTGAGGTTTTCCTTCAAGTGTGGAACGATGCACCAAACATCCTTTCTGTGTTTCAGGATGCTGCCGCAGATCAAGCCTGCCAGTCCTCACCCTGGTCACAGCGGATCCCTTTGAAGCCGATGCTGCAGTAGCAGGTTCCTGTCACGTAGTCGCATGTGGCGTTGTTCATGCACTCACACAGCTGCTGGCAGCCGTATCCAAACGTTCCTGAAGTACACTCTGGAAAACAGCAGCCGAGGTCACGCATGCATCCTGACAGAGCTGATGGGAAACAGGGCAGGTGAAGACTCACTGAGCTCACAGCTGGGCCCGATGAAGCCGGTCCGACATGAGCACTGCCCCGAGACGTGGTCGCAGTCGGCTCCGTTCTGGCACCGGCACACCTCAGAACACTGAGACCCATAGAAGCCTGACGGGCAGCCTGCACGGAAACACACAGTCTGCCTTTAAGCGTTTCCTACAGTCTGAACGTGTGGAATCAGATCGGATCTGTCACAGCAGAACCAGAACCAGTTCAGACTTTAACAACCACAGAGATTCTGCTGAGATGCGAGGAAGCAGAACCGGATCTGTTGGTGCTTCATGATGGAACCGGTTTGGGTCGCTGCACTTTGGTCATCTTATCATTTATCTTTCAATCAAGGCAGGAAGACTAAATCCATTTGTCAAACTTTTGATAATTTTGGTTTGACTTTCTGAAACAAAAGCAGTAAAGAAAGCAGCTAATCATCAAACACCTGATTAAAGATGCGGGAAAGCTAAACGATTTCTGTCAGTTTCATAATAACAGTGGTTTTTAGCTTTTTAAGCTCATAAATATATTGTCTGGCAAAAGTATTCACTGTTAGGATTCCAGTCTGTGTGGTTTGTGTTTGTCTTCCCTCCTCCACCAGGCGGTGCCTGGTTCTGGTTGGCCTCCTCACACACCTGCGGAGGGTTTCCTCATTAACGGAGTGTTCTTAAGCTGCTGACGGCCACTACCTCGACGCCAGAGTGTTTGCCAGTTTTGGGTACTCTAGCCAAGCTGAGTTTTGCTGAGTCAAACTGAGTTTTGTCTGCCTGAGTTTTAATCTCGCTGTTTTTGTCTTTGCCTCTCTGCAGGAAGTCATCCTGCAAACTGGATATTTCGGACCTTCTCTCCCCTGGAAGGATCTTCTGAGAACCAAACTGAGCTGAGGATTCAAGTTTGTGGTTTGGATCAACCTTTTTCCCCAAGGATCGTTTGAGGCTTCTCTCTGAGCAGGGGATTCATCTCCACAACAACCCGTTCAAGTACCGCAGGAAATCTAAGTGGCAGCCAGCCTCTCCGTTCCCCAAGGAGCAATCGCAATCTGGGTAAACCCTGTCTGGCCTCCATCGAACAATCACAATAACATCCCACACCGACTGGAGTCAATAAGAGTCAGAGACAGTTCCGGTTGAACAGTGTTCAGAGCAGCACTGGACTTCTACACATCCTTCTAAATAAACCTGTTAAACTTTTCCCTGGTCTCTCTGTTTTGGTTTTCTGCATGTGGGTCAGAACCCTTGATAAAATCATTACATTCACACCTACAGGCTTTACTTTTCTTTTTTATTTTGAGTTTATATGACAGACAAAAGCAAAGAAGCGACAACTGTGAAATAAAAAGCTTAATTCATGGTTTTTAACTTTAGTTAACTAACATCCCCACAGCATAATGCTGCTGCCACCATGTTCTGCTGTGAGGATGATGGGTTCAGGGTCATGTGCGGCTCTTTCTATAACTCTGACTTATAAATACCTAGACTCTGTTTACTAATTTGGCCGCTCCTGACGGTTAAATATTAGCACCGGTGTCAGTACCAGATCTGCTGCGGTCCTGCGCATGCCAGTGTGTTACACTATGTTAGCAGCATAACATTGCCACATGACCTGAATTGGAGGTCTTCAACAGGGGGTCAGCATCGCCTAGGGGGTCCACGGAAGTACTGCATAGGGATTGTGAAAGTTTTGGTTGATTAGACTTTTTATATATATATATTCCCAACTGCAATTTTTACTAATTAAAATGTTTTTAAATCCACATTAACATGAATTTAACACTGTAGTAAACAGATAAATGGAGGCAGAAGATGTCTTTGAGTCATCAATGCACACATTCAGAGACACACAGGAGCTCTTTGAAGCTGGGCACCGTTTCATTCACAACACCTGTCCCATTAACCAGGAAGCAGAAATACTTTAATAATACCAGGGAGAAATGACTTTCTTTACATTACTCCATATGTAATAGAGTGACTATAGGATCAGTTTTATGTAAAGCAATTTCATACAATATATAATTAGGGGGTCCTCGCTCCATCTCGCCATCAGTTTGGGGGCCCTTGGCCTTAAAAACATTGACGACCCCTAACCTAAAAGCCTCTTTTAGCTCAGTCAGTTAGTCGTATTGAGCTGCACTGCTTATAACTTCTTTTCAACAGCAACCGTTCGTAGAATAACTTTTGTTTTCTTTGTCTAAAGTCTCTATGAAAGTCATTTTTAAGGTGTTTAATTTTCCCTCAGATCTTAATAAAAAGAATAAAAATAAGCTGAGACTTTTAGTGTCTCCTTGTTAAATGGCAGAGGTCAGTCTGTCTTAGAACGCAGTGCTTTGCTTCAAGACTGACAATGATCCTTTTCTACCTTTGGCTACTTTAGATCGACGATGAAACATAAAATAGGAGCAAATATTGGAAATAATATGTTTAGACTCCAGGAGAGGTCTGATCTTCATTAAACAGGTGCCATGCAGTTTGTCTGAGTGGTGTTGCTATTTAATGATGTCATCAGAAGGGACGGGGCCTCGCGCCGATCTGGTACCTACACTGGATTTGATCTTTGGGGTAACAGAGAGCAAAGGATCCAACACTTTTCTGATTAGTTAAAAATATTCTGTAACCAATGTCTCCTTTTCCTCCCATGTCAGAGTCATGCACTCCACAAATATCACTGTACTTTGCTGGGATTTTCACTCCAATAAAATCTCATCAAATACATTGAAGTTTCTGCTTTGACTGTAACAGGTGGAAACTTTACACATATAAATAATTTTGGGAGGTTCTGTATAAAGTTCTGTATAAAGCCTGGTTCTTAACAACTATCTTTATCAAGACCACCGGTCATTTTATCTGTTTCTGAAGAGAGTTCAGACAAGTTAAATATGTGGGCTTCTCAGCCAAATCTCTTCTACAGGTTTTCAGATTGATTGATTGATTAATAGACTTTAGTGATCTCACAGGGGAGAAATTCACTTTATCATTGATCACAGATCATTGTTAATGCAGTTTAACAATTGGCCACTAGATGGTGCAGTTGTTATAGCTAACCAAAGCAGAGCAGTAATGAGGAGCCGGTCTGTATCAGTGTGTTTACTGCTATGTTACTGACCTTCTGAGGACCACCAGGACTTCTAGAGAACAAAGTCTGGTCCCCATGTGGCAGAGCCTCCTTTTTAATGTTAGGGTGAGTTAAGAGCTTTAGAGTTATTGTGTGAATTAACTCTAGGTAAAGGATAGAAATATATCCTCATAGCCAGCGTTAGGGTAAACGTCAGTCAATGTAAAGTGTTAATTTGTGTAGAAATGCAGAGATGTGTGTTTTTGTGGAGGCATACGTTGCGTGCAGTAGAGTCCGGTCCATCCGGGGCTGCAGGTACACTCTCCATCCGTGGCGCTGCACTCCGCCCCGTTATGACAGTTACACAGGTGGGTGCAGTCTGGACCCCATGACCCTGCAGGACACGCTGCCAGAGGGATGTGAAGAACCAAGTCACACATCAGCTGATTCCTCGCTGTTGGATAGCCCTCAACTAAACCAAGGGGTGAACCGGGGTCACATCAGGATGCTGGGAGTCATTTTCTAAACTACCTCAGGAAAACCAAAGCCTCAGTGTAAACTGATCTCCAAGACCACCTTAAAAGCCTCCAGGCTTTCTAAACAGTCTCTGACTCACGTTTGGAGCAGTCCTCTCCGATCCATCCAGGGTAGCACTGACACGAGCCATCGATGGGGTTACAGGTGCTGTTGTTGGTGCAGAAGCAGGCCTCAGAGCATGCCTTGCCATACTTCCCACTGGGACACACTGTAGATAGGGACACAGCAGAGAATGTCCTCAGTGTTTGAAACACCACAGGAGTCCACACATCCAGTCAGAGTACCAGGAAACAGAACCCCCTCAAAAATCAACTTCATTACAATTTCCTACTGAATAATAACTGACCTTTATGAAATGGTGTGTTCTATCAGATCAGGAACCAGAAGAACGCAGTTTTAAGTTCTCATTTACAGACATGAGGCTGCATGATGGAGCTGTTGGCACTGTTGCCTTGCTACAAGATGGTCCCTGGTTTCAAAACTAAAGAATGTCTAATCAGTCAGTTTCCGTCGCTCTGTTACTGCTCCTGGGATTCAGTTTATTGTGCTGTGTTCACAAAGTTAGTCAGAGTTGTGATGGTGGTGCATCCTGCAGCTCTCCTCATCTGTCCCCCGTCTGACCACAGCTAGTAATCACCAACCTCTAAATACTGGAAAAATAACTCTAAAGTCACAGGAGATTCATCTGTTAGCTCTGTGGGAATAAGACGTTTGTGAAGAGTGACCTGTAATTCTGAAAACGCAAAACTGGAGGACTGTTAAGAACGTTTCAACCCTTAAAGTCGTAGGGATATGGCTGTTCCAATTGTCGCATTTCCGAATTCTCCCGAGTGGTGCCCGACTTTACACAAGTGAATAAAGTGAATGTGATTGGTCGTTTTTTAAGGGGGCGGGATTGTTGTGGCGGAAGGTTCGCAAGCAAGTTTGGTTGTGGCCGGTTTGTAGGAAGCATCTTGCAAACCAGTTAGCAACTTATTGCTAGTAGGTTCCCAATGGGAAATTCCATTGGGAGCAAGTAGCACTAAATTGGTGACTGAGAAACGACGCTGTCAAGGAACGCTATGGACAGCGGAAACACGCAAGAGGAGGAGAGTTTAGTGTCGGAGGTCGTGGATGAGTCTCCTCTGTCATCCATTTTTTATTTAGAAAAGGAAAGTGGGCTGAAGATGTTGTGGAAGAGGACGCCAGGGCGGCAGAAGCTTGGTTTGGTGTTGACTGTTGATTAGAGACTGATACGGGAGGGGATTTTCACTCCTGTCCCGTCACACTCCCAGAGAAAAAAAATTGTGTCCCGTCCCGATCCCGGGCCAGAGTAGAAATCTAAATCCTGTCCCGTCCCACTCCTGGTGAAATTACTCCCGCTCCCATTCAGAATGACTCCCGCTCCTGCACCACTCCCATTCTTGTTTTTGAGCGCGGGTGAAAAACTCAGAGCGGAAGCACTGTTGGTTTTTGGGTCGTGTAGTTTTTTCGACTCGCATTATAGTGTAGGCTTCAAGGAAAAAATCTACAAAATGGTGGCGCCAGTACTGTTTTTTCTTTCTATTTTATTTTATTTTTTGGCATCGATCCTAGTTTTTTTAGTTACTATTGGTTTGCTCCCGCTCCCGTCTGCTCCCGTTAATGTTTAATCCTGTACCGTCCCAATCACATGATCGTTACTAATACTGACTCCCATCCCACGGTAATCCCACGGGATTCCCGAAAAAAAATGTCAGTCTCTACTGTTGATATATGATTGGTCGAACTGAGGTGTACAACCTGACGTATAACTAACTGTCCTGTATAAAATAATGAAAACATTTCTCTAAGATTTTCAGACAGGATTTTTTTAAAATAGAAAGTTTCTAAATTTCATTATCGTCTGATAAAGAGCACATTTATATACATGTTTAAGCCAGAATGATTTGACATTTAAATGTGATTTCCCTTCGACTCTAAAAACGGTTATCTGTAGAATAACGTGGAAGTTCTGAGGAAGAGCTGATTTAGTATCAGAATACATCTGAGCAGCAGCAGATTCATGAGCACACTTTGCAGAACAGATAAAAAAAATAAAAAAAATAAATCCTCTATCTTCTGTTAATAATGTGGAACAGCAGCTGGATTCATACAGCTTCATCAATTCAATTCAATTCAATTCAATTCAATTCAGTTTATTTATATAGCGCCAAATTCACAACACATGTCATCTCAAGGCACTTTACAGTTCAACCAGATCAAATTGATACAAAGTTTTCTATCTAAGGAAAACCAGTTGATTGCATTGACTCATTGACTCAAATACAATCCCCCACACTAAGCATGCTTGTAGCGACAGTGGAGAGGAAAAACTCCCTTTTAACAGGAAGAAACCTCCAGCAGAACCAGGCTCAGTGTGAGCGGCCATCTGCCGAGGCCGACTGGGGTTCAAGGAGACAGAAGCAGAGATACAAAAAGCAGCTGTAAAAGGCGGCCCCGTCCAGGAAACACGCAGCCAGGCAGACGAGCTCCAAGGCAGCTCCCATGCCAGAGGACGAAGAAAGCACATCCACTCAGTCACGGTCAGAGAAACAGGACCACACTGGAAAACAGGCCGATCTCCAACATCTATAAACAAGGGTGTTGATAGAAGCAGCACAGCTGATGTTTCTTTCCAGGATGACGTCACAGCCAAACAGGAACAGACGAGGCAAAGCTACTCTGAGGAAAAGCAGAGAGAGCAGAAGGTTAGAGATTGAACTAACAGATTCTGCAGAATAGGAGAACAGAGAGAGAATGAAGCAGAATGATGAAATGGGGGTCCCTATGTCCTCCAAAAGTCTAAGCCTATAGCAGCATAACTATAGAGATAGCTCAGGATAACCTGAGCCACTCTAACTATAAGCTTTATCAAAAAGGAAAGTTTTAAGCCTAGCCTTAAAAGTAGACAGGGTGTCTGCCTCACGGACTAAAACTGGTAGTTGGTTCCACAGGAGAGGAGCCTGATAACTAAAAGATCTGCCTCCCATTCTACTTTTAGAAATTCTAGGAACCACTAGTAAACCTGCAGATTGAGAGCGAAGTGCTCTGTTAGGAACATAAGGAACAATCAGATCTCTGATATAAGATGGAGCTTGGCCATTTAAGGCTTTATATGTGAGAAGGAGGATTTTAAATTCTATTCTTGATTTAACAGGAAGCCAATGAAGAGAAGCCAGGATAGGCGAGATATGATCTCTCTTTTTAATTTTCATTAGAACTCTGGCTGCAGCATTTTGGATCAGCTGAAGGCTTTTAACTACAGTTTGTGGACTTCCTGATAGTAAAGAATTACAATAGTCCAGCCTTGAAGTAACAAATGCATGGACTAGTTTCTCAGCATCACCCCTGGACAGGATATTTCTAATTTTTGCAATGTTCCTCAGATGAAAGAAGGAAATTCTAGAAACCTCTTTGATGTGGGATTTAAATGACAGGTCCTGATCAAAAACAACACCAAGATTTTTTACTTTATTATCTGAAATCAGTTTAATCCCATCCAAATGAAGTGACTGGCTAATCAGTTTCTTTTTCAGAGACTCTGGTCCAAAGACTATAACTTCTGTTTTGTCTGCATTCAGAAGCAGAAAGTTAAGAGTCATCCAGGTTTTTATGTCTTCAAGACATGCCTGTAATCTATGTAATGGGTTAGCTTCATCTGGATTTATAGACAGATATAGCTGGGTATCATCAGCATAACAGTGGAAATTAATCCCATGCTGTCTAATAATTCTACCAATTGGGAGCATGTATAAAGTAAAGAGAATTGGTCCTAGCACTGATCCCTGTGGTACTCCACAGGTAACCTTTGAGCGTGTTGAAGATCTATCATTAACATGAACAAACTGAATTCGATCAGATAGATCATCAGCTGTTCTAGACAATCTGCTCAGTTTGGGGCAACAAGAATAAAGAAATAACCAACTTTACTGAGGTCCTTCAGAGTTTTCTGACAGTTTGTGAGGAACTTAGTGGAGAAACAGAATGATGCAAACCCTAGCTAAAATATGAGTTAATGAAGCGAACAGAGAGCGGCCCTCTTCTGCTAATTATCCTCTCCTGATCATTCCCATGTAAGGTTTATGTGCTTTGATTCAAAGTTAACTGTCACACACTGCTAAGTGTTACGTTGGAGGAGGGAATGCTAATGATGACATTTCTAACAGCCCATTAAATAGAAGAGATGCTGCAGCTGGTTTGTGTTCAGCTGCAGGCAGATCAGAGGGAGCCTCCAACCAAACAATAAACGATCAACATCATCCTGACAAACGCAGCTCATGGAGAACAGCCAGATCCTGGGTTAAAGAACTTAGAGTGACTTAGACTTAGACTTCTTTTATTGTCTTTGCACAAGAAACACAAGGTGAATCTTGACAACGAAATGTCGATTACTTGGCTACCAGTGTAACAGACTTTATTCCTGACAATAAATATGTTTTCTATGAGTAAGAGCCAGCTATATACAGGGTAAGAGTATATATACATATATATTGCACTGAGTTATTGAATATTGCACTGAAGAGTTATTGAAAATGAAACATTAAATTGAAGACAAAACTAAACTAAGGTATTGTCCATGTCCATGGGGGGAGGAGTGTTATGTGGCGTTAAGCAGTCTGATGGCCAGGGGGAAGAAACTGTTTAGTAGTCTGGTCGTTCTGCAGAAGGTGCTGCAGAACCTTCTGCTGGACGACAGGTGGGAAAAGAGTCCGTGGTTGGGGTGGGTGGGGTCAGAGAGGATCTGGTGAGCCTGGGATAGCGCCTGCACTGGAGAAACGATCTAGAAATTAGGGTTGTCAAAAGTATCGATACTCAAAAAAGTATCGATACTGAAACGTTGTATCCGGATACAATACTCATTTTCAAAAGTATCGATACAGTGCTACCACCAGTGGCACCTAAAATGTCATTCATCTAAAGTGCAGAATAGAGGAAAATGCACTTTCAGAACACTGTGTGATTGAATAATTCTGTGCACTTTTCAGTTTCAGACTTTTTTTTGTAACAGGTGCAGCTGCTGAGAATGATTTTTGTTTCTTAACCAGTTTGGCTAGTGTCATTGCTATGTGTCCAAAGCATAGCAAAGTAAGGAAAACTTAATTTTAAATTTTTTAAGTTTTTTAATCAAGCTTGCTTAATACTGTGCACAGCAAACAACCTCAAAATATTGTTCTTATTGTTTATTGTATTTATTTATTGTATTTTAAG